TATTGTGCCAAGCAAAGAATAATTAGAAAAACCTGCAGGTCGAATCCACGTCCCGTTGTTCCAAAATCGGCAAAAGCCGCTACTTCATTCGCAAATCGAACACATCTGGTGCAATGAATGCAGCGAGTCATAACGGTCTTAATCAAAGGACCAATGTTTTTGTCCTCGACGGCTCTGAATTTATTACGAAAGTCTGAAGACGAATAAGAGCATAAAAAACGGAAAAAGAAAGGCATCTAATTTTATGACATGAGACTGTGAAATTCTTCACCTTTTCCCATCATAAGTAGCCCGAAGGCGACTACGATCACTTCCGAATGCCATTGATTGATCTTGAAGATCGCACTCACCTCCCTAGAAAAAAATCGTATGAGATACACGTTTCAAAAAAAAAAAAACGTTGAGAATTCTATAAGGAAAATAAGGAAAAACGAACATCGTAACAGTCATCGAATCTTAAAATGATTTTCTATTATTGATCGACGTACCTGATCACAAATCGGGCAGTCCAGAGGATGGTTCACAAGTAGGAACTCCATCACACCTTCACGTGCTTTACGAGCAAAATCGGAGTTTGTCTTAACCTTCATTCCTTTCATTACGGGCATCGCACACGATGCAACGGGCTAAATAAAGCAACGACAACCATCGTTTTCCTAACGAAATAATGGTTAAACAAACCTTCATGCTCTTTTCCACCTCCACGAGGCACATACGACAATTTCCAGCGATCGACAAACGATCGTGGTAGCAAAACCGAGGGATATCCACACCGGCGAGAGCGCATGCCTGAACAGTAAGATTACAGACTTCAAGCATGATGGCTTATGACAGAGAAAATTGACATCGCCAAGATGATTTGCGTGTAAGTGGAATGAAAAGAGATGCGCACGGTTGCATGTCACGATTGCAAATTCAATTGATATCCAAGAAAACTTTCTCCGATAAGTTATGATTCGTGATATGAAAGGTTAGTACGAAAATTCGCATAAATAGTCGCCGCTAATGCCTCGCCAAACCGCAACTTTATGAATTTAGATGTTGTTTGATTCAAAGTATAAATAGCATTCTATTCGAATGGAAAATCTAACCTGTAGAATAGTTAGTCCTGGGTCTACAAGTATTTTCTTATCATCGATAAAAACTTCAATCTTTTGAGGAGCTGCTGCCGTTGACTGTGCACGTCGACATGCTACAGTACCGCAGCGCGCCAGACGTGCCACCGAACCGACGCGGTGCATACCCT